TGCTGCTGCTGCTGCTACGGAAGCTGATATGCTCATCGAGGTGAGCCCCGTACAACAAAAAAACACGCCGCGAACATCAGTTTTGGTGTGCAGCACTGTTTTGCAAGGGGCTACGCCAGCGCCCGTATACATATTTATGTATTTATCGATATATATATATATATATACGCTCTCGTGCGAGAGTGATTGTCGGGCCGCCTTTGGGGAACAACTAGCGCTCCCCAAGCCAAGGTACATGCGAATGTGACTCACTACAGCCTCGCGGACGTTCGTTACAACGCAGACCTAAGCACGTATGCATGCACACATACAGCTGGCATCACTTTGTGAAGGCAAAGCTGTGTGATGCAGAGCGACCGCTGCGTGTCAGGGTTGAACTCTGCAATGCAGAATGCGGAAGGCAACGCGTTTGAGACTCAAGAGGCCCAAAGCAAGTTTCCGAAAGGCGGCCCCAGAAACCCCAAGGAAGATGTAAACGGCCACCAATCCACAACCCAGACAAGGCGGTGCTGGATTTGACAGAACACCATTAGATAGGAAGAGTAATGATATGGAGGGTGCAAAGAGAGCAGGGACATGATAAAAACTAGCAAGAGCAGCGCCGAGTAGAGTTTGTACACATATACGTATGGTAGAAAGAGGGAGCAGAGAGAGTGTGAAGCAGAGAGTCGAGTATAGAGCAGGTCGTAGAGAGTAGAGATCACAGAGCATGGAGCAGAGCGGATGTTTTCTTGTGCAACGCGCCTTGCCAATGCTGGTCTCCGCTGGCCGTTTTGTTTCCCTGGTCCAGCAGCTGCTCCCCCATCAACCTTCGTGCCTTGACTCGGTCATCCCGTGGTACAGGGCAATTTTTAAAACACAGGTTTTTTGTTAATACATGAACAATTTATGAATAAATGTACGCATGAACTCATCATTGTTTTTTATACCAAATCCCTGCATTTTTAATACATGACACGCACGCGGAACATGTATAAAAAACGGCACTGTAGACCCCCTGCCCTTGAAACGAAAACCAAGGTTGGCCGAGCGTGCCATCAGGGAGATTTTGGGAGCGGGGTTGGGAAGCCGCACTCCCCACGTGTCCTGAGATGGGCCCGGTGGGTCGTCGTGGAGACCATGGAAGTTGGCCTCAGGGGGCGGCGTCACCGAAAAACTGGAATCCCCATCTCGCGCTCAGGCTCACACTCAGACAAGCTCAGGCATCGCATTTGAGCCAAAACAGAATGGGGGTCGACCAAGGGCGTCTCACGGGTCCGCTCGCGCAAAGCTTGCGGGGACCCCTCGGGACAAGCGCCTGCTTCAGCACGTAAGCGACTCCCTGCTCCGAGCCCCATTTTACCACCGCGATGCAACAGGCATCGCGCTGGAGGCACCCCAGGGGGTGTGGACCCAGGGTGCTCCACTGGCCCGTTCGCAGTCAAGTGTCGGGGACGTCTCGGGCGAAACCTTTGATTGGACCCATCAGTAGACGCACAAGCTTGCCCGAGCCTGACGATCACTGCGGCGTCGCGGGCGTGGCATCCGAACCGCCCGCGGGGCCCAATGGGCGATGTCGACCAGGGAAGCTGCGCGGGCCCGCTCGCATTCCGACTGCGGGGGGGCCTCTCGAGCGAAACGTCTCGTGTGGCACAGTTGACGCATCCTTGGCCCAGCGCCCCCCATTGGCCACCGCGACGCAACCGAACCGACAGGTCGACGACAAGGGACGGTTCACAGGCCCGGACTGGTCAAGCGAAGCAACTGTTTTGACACAGCAGATGGGCCTCTTTTCAGAATCCTCTGGCCCTGGTCCCTACGACGCATCATCCTCGGCATTTGGGCCAGCCAACGGGTGTCGGCGGCCAGATCAAGCAAAACGTCTCCTTTCAGAGCCTCATGACCGGGGCGATGTAGCAGGCATAGCATTTGAACCACCCCACAGAATGTTGACTAGGAGTGTTTCACGCGCCCGTTGCCGCTCAGACTGCGAGGGGTTCCGAAGCGAAACGCCTGTCTTGGCTCAGTACACGAATTTCGCTTCCGAGCCTGATCATCACCGCGATGCAGCATGGCACTTGAGACATTCAAGAGGGGTTGACAAGGGGTGTTTCACGGAGCCCCTGTTCACAGTCTGTTTGTAGGGCCCTCTTCAATGCAAGCGGAACGCTTGCTTTGGCCCAGTCAACCAAACACTTCTTCGGAGACCCACCATCACCGCGACTCAGCAGGCATGGCACTTGAACCACCCAACGGGGCGTGCACCAAGAGTGTCTCACAGGCACGTCCGCGATCGGACTGTGCGGATCTCTAAAACAAAGCAGCAATTCGTTTAACATAAAAGACGGGTCTCTTCTCAGGCCCCCCCTGATCACCGCGATACGGCAGGCATGATATTTGGGCCACCCAATATGGGGTAGACCAGGTTTGGACCAGTTCGTGCCCAAGTCGCGGGGATCACTCGGGCGAAACGCTTGCACTGGCACAGTAAACGACTCTCTGCTTGTAGGCCCAGATCACCGCGATGTACTAGACATCGCATTTGGAATAACCACGGGGATATCGACCGAAGGTGTTTCACGGGCCGGTTGGCACTCAGATTGCGGGGACCTGATTGGCGAAACGCTTGCACTAGTCTATTAAGCGACTCTCTGCCCACAGCCCCACGATCACCTTGATGCAGCAGGTATGGCAGTTGAACCACCTGCCTGCATGTCGACCAGATGTGTTTTCACTGGGCCGTTCGCACGCAGATTGTGGGAACCTCTCTGGCGAAACGCCTGTGTTGGCCCAATGAACGGTCTCCTCTCCAGAGCCTCAGGATCGCCGCGATGCAGCAGGAACGGCTCTCTGAGCCACTCAACACACAGGGGAGGGCTTGTGATGGCAATGCTGTGCGGCCCTTTGCTGGGAAGCCGAATGCATCGAAGGGCGGCGACGGCGGAAATTACCAGCACGGCAGTATGGTGATGGGCATGGGCCCGGGGACGGCGGTGCTCGTGGGCAGCAGTAGCAAATCGTTTACGACTGCTGGCGGTAACGATGACGGGGCCATGAGGGCGAGCCACACCCTAACATTATTCTGCGCAGCCGCGCGCGGACCTGGCGGGCCGAATCGCAGGCTAAAGTCTCGACCTTTTCAGTTCAATCACATGCATGGATCCACATGCACGGCCAAAAATGCAAATTCTGACTGAGAAGCCGCAGACACGGAACGGCACAATTTCCATACATTGTCGGAAGTTTACGCGCATGTCCTGCTACGTTTCTTCTAGAACCCAACGTCGTATTCTTGGCTTTGCGTTCGCAAGCCCGCAAGTCTGTGCCAAGGTTCCTGGCGACTTCTGCAAGGTTTCTGCGGTCGCTGGAAGGGTCGCGCAGCGCGCGTCAACGATATCTGCAACGTGGAGGCTGTGTGCTGCGAACTGGCAACGCGCGACTATACACTGCGGATGTGCAAGGGCCGTCACCTTGTTACGTAAGCCTTGAACCTTCGAGCGCAACGAACTGCGTGAGAAAGATATCCTCGACGCCGTCTGCGGCATGACCACCATCTGCGCCACAATTCTCATCATTGACGCCATCTTTACGTTCGCCCTCACCCCTTGTGTTGTCATCCTGATCGCCATATTGGCGGCCATTGCGCTCATGAAATTGCAACAACCACTCTCATCTCTTTGATGCACAAGGTGGAGGCTTGTGCTTTTCATAATGGTTGGCCCTCTGCTGGAAAGACACATGCATTGGAAGACGGCGACGGGCAATTTTTGCCTGGACGACAGGCTTCGAGCGCGATCTCGGGCAAACTCCCCTTCCTTCGCATTCAGATTGTGGGGCTTCTTAGGCTAAACTCTTGTTTGGGCCCAGTGGGCGAGTCTCGTTTGAGAGCTCGACGATCACCGTGATGAAGCAGGCATGGCACCTGAGCCACCCACCAGAGGTTGGACCAAGGTTTTTTCACGGGCCCGCTCGCACTCAGAATGTGAAGATCTTTCAAACGAAACGCCCGTTTGGGCCCAGTGGACGACGTCTCGCTTGAGAGCCCTATGGTCACCGCCACGATGTAGCAGGCATCGCTTTTTGCACCACCCACGTGGGGGGGTCAAGCGGGGTGCTACACAGGCCCTTTCGCACTCAGATTGTGGGAACTTGGGGGCCAATAGCGAATCACTATGACCATTGCGATGTAGCAGAACGGTGTGTCGACCACGGGTCTCTCACGGGCCCGTTCCGACCCAAATTGTGGGGTCCCTTCAGGCGAAGCAGCTGCTTCGGTCCAGGGAACGAATCTCTTCTCAGAGCCCCGCCACCCAAAGGAATACCAGCCAAGGGTGCTTGACAGGTCCGTTCGCGACCAGATGGTGGGGACAGCTCAGGCGACACGCCCACTGTGTCCCAGTGGACGAAGCGCCGAGTGTGGCCCGATTGACGAATATTGTCTCGGAGTCCCATGGCAGTTGGGCCTTCCATGGGGGAGCCGCCAAGGGGCATGACACGGGCCTGTTCGCACCGAGATTTTGGGGACCTCCCAGGCGCCCAAATTACAGGATTCCATCACGAACGTCCAGACTTACTGATATACCGATCCAATCACATTCGAGCCCACCCATGCTCCGACACATTCCGCCACACATACTCAGGCTCACTCGCACCAAGACCCATTTACAACCAAACGCTCATACCCAGACTCACTCATACGTACTCAGATTCGACCAGACACGCTTACACAGAGACACTGTAAAACGCGTGCGACAACAGAACTAAACACCCATGGAGAACTCCGTGTCGAATAGTTGCATGGTGCTCGCATTCTCGGCATTCCTTTTGTAAGAGCATCCAAGACCACCCGAGAGGCCAACAGGAGGCCTCTAAGAGGGGAAACTACAAAGCCGGTCGTTCCCCACAACAGGCCCCCAAGAGACCCACAGATGGGCCGCAGGCCAATAGATGATGTCAGCGGGCGTGTGAACGTAAGGCGCAGGTGAGAGATAGAGAATATACAGCATACAGCAAAGGTACTTTTATGGCCTGGCGGCATCACACCTACAGGCAGCGAGTGCGCACAGCACCGAGCCGCCATTCGCTGTAGGCCCGCCCGCCAGTTGCCCTCCGCGCAGGCGATGGCGACTCGGCTCGAGCACGGGCCGACCGTCCGGGCATTCCTGTGGGCCTACCGCGACATGTTCTTAGAACCCGAGATGGTCTCTAAGGAAAAAACCATGTTTCGGGGATGGATAGACCTCCCTTTAGTAAAACATGGTTTAGTGAAAACGACCTCGGGCCCAAACCTGGCGGGCGCAAGCCTGGAAAATGACGGCCGCGGCGCCCTCTCGAGAACCGAAAACGGACAATTCACTAATCGAGGTCTGTCCAGTCCCGAATGTTCTTAGAACATAGAGCCGATGGATTGAAGCAAGACGGTCCAAGCCAGAACTGTTCTGAGAACATGTCGTTCTGTGGTGGGCCCGTAGGCAGGCCAGAACGCTTCGCCACCGGGGAAACCGAAAGGTACCGATCCCGCTACAGTGGGGGCATTGGGTAAGGAACCCTTAGAGGAGGAACCCAGGGTCTGGAAGCCGGTTGAACTCTTACTGTGGATTGGCCATGGATATCGCCGCCGCCCTCGTCAGAAAAGGAATCCTCCAGAGTCTGAAGCCTCCTGTGCAGATTGCTGATTCCTTAACGAACGTCCCCGCCGTACTCCCCGGACCTCTCCCGGTGCGCGTTGTGGCCAACATCCCGGGGCGAATCCAGCGGCGGCGACGAGGCCCAAAATAGGACAAAACGGGGGAAAGGACAGCGGCATGGGTACCCCTCCCTCTTCGGACCTGGTGGGCCCACGGGCAGGCCAGGACGCTTCGCCACCCGCCTGGTCAGCCCCAGCAGGGGTCCTTCGGGTTCGCCTCCAGCTCGCCGCGCCACTCCCGCGACACGGCGTCCCCGGGGTGCATCGCCTCGGCCGCGCGGCCGCAGACCCACAGCGCGGCGAGGTGCACGCCGTCCTCTCCTCGGCACCCCGCGGGCAGGCGGGCCCAGCATCGAGTCGATACCGTCGGCCCGTATCAGAAGGATGCGCGACAAGTGCGGGCCCAAAGAACATACACCACCACCACCTCCATCCCCCCTCCCTCCTCCACCCTCCTCCTCCCCTCCTCTGTCCTGGGAGAGGGACAGGGTTAGGGAGGCGGTGGTGGCGTACACTTCTTGGCCCCGTAAGAAGGATGCAAGAGCCTTGGACGCCACTTCGAAGCTTCTCGAGCGGGGCGCGGCCAGCGACAGTGGCCAAGGATGGGCCGAGGAGGCAAGGATGCAAGGGTACCCTTGGGAAGGTTGCCCATCCTTCCTATGCGTGTGGACTGCAAGCCGGATCGGCGATCGAAACGAGTCGCATCGGCGGAGGTCGGCAGCCGAGCCAGGAGAAGTCGACTCGGCGGAGGTCGGCAAGCTCGTGTAGGCCTCCGGCGAGAGGTCGGAATCCCAAAAATCGGCGAACCGAATCGGGATCGGACGCCATCGGCGTCGAGTCGCATCGGAGCCCTGGCAGGCGCAGGCTGCACCACGGCCGGATCCCGATCCCGATCTCCCTGGCCCGATCCGGCCCCAGAGGGCGGGGTGCACTCGTGTCCTCGGCGAGCGAGGGGGGGGAAGCGAGAATCGGGAGCGGCCAAGAGGGGGGTGTCCAAGAGGGGGGGGTGCAAATCATGACCGGCGGCATGTGCGCGGCCCAGCGGGGGGACCAGGGACGTAATGAAATAAGGAGAGGCGCCATGAAATCTGGGGAAATATCATGGCCCCCGCCATGATATCCACCCCCCCTGGTCATCACCCCCCTCTTTGCGGCCCCCGAGAGAAGGAGCAGGCCCTCTCAGAAGGCGGCGGGACTTCTCAGAGGCCCCCCGGCCTTCTGCGAAGCTCTCCGTGTCTTCGGGGGAGGCTTCGAGAACTCCTCGGAAGGCCGGGGGCCTCCCGAGCCTTCCGAGAAGGCCTTCTCCTTCTCACTTCCCCCCCCCCCGGGCTCGCCGCCGATTGAGAATCGAACGCCCGACCGTGGACCGCTCCATTAGAGGAGGAAGAGGAGGAGGAGGAGGAGGAGGAGGAGGAGGAGGGAGGAAGGGAGAGGAGGAGGGGGGAGGAGGAGGAGGAGGAGGGGGAGGAGGAGGAGGAGTGTTGGGAGCGGGCCTTCCCGAAGAGGCGGGCTCTCTGGACCCACTGGTCTGGTGCGGGGCGGCCACGCTCTGCCTCCGGTCCACCACGACCTCTCTGTGGCAGCGGGCCTCTCCTCCTCCTCCTCCTCTCCTCCTCCTCCTCCTCCTCCTCCTCCTCCTCCTCCTCCTCCTCCTCCTCCTCCTCCTCCTCCTCCTCCTCCTCCTCCCTCCTCCCCTCCTCCTCCTCCTCCTCCTCCTCCTCCTCCTCCTCCTCCTCCTCCTCCTCCCTCCTCTCCTCCTCCTCCTCCTCCGCCTCCTCCTCCTCCTCCTCCTCCTCCTCCTCCTCCTCCTCCCCCTCTCTCCTCCCTCCTCCTCCCCCTCCTCCTCCTCCTCCTCCTCCTCCTCCTCCTCCTCCTCCTCCTCCTCCTCCTCCTCCTCCTCTCCTGTGGCATCGCGTCGGCTCTTGCGAATCGACGCCAAATCGACGCTAACTCGACACGAACCGACGCTAGACCCGCGCGATCGCACCCTGTGCAAGACGCGAATCAACGCCAGTCGACGCCAGAGACGGAATTCAGAGGGTGCACCAGGCCCCCATGACTTGCGACCGAACGGCCTCCCACTTGGCCGCCCAGAAGACGCCGTCGCCGCACAGGTGCACGAAGCGCACGTAGTTCTCCGCCTTGCGCGAGGTCGCGTCCTTGTGGACGTAGATCCCCGGCGCCCCGTCGAAGTATCGATCACCCATCGACTCGAGGACGACTTTTTCAAAGTCCCGCACAACGTGAGTCAGTGGTGCAAAGATAGGGCCCTGAGGGATGGGGTCCTAAGGATCGGAAGGGATCCAAGGGTGGATTTACGTTGTTTGAGGCACCTGGTCCTCAGGACCCCATCCCTCAGGACCCCATCTTTGAACCACCGAATGAGTGAGGAGGACGGCGGGGTAACGGCAAGAATGGCAGAGACGACCCCCCCCGGCCTGGACACACTCAACGGCCACGGGAGTCCACAGAGATGCGTGACGCCTGCGCGTCGGACACATTGCCCATTCGGAGTTGCACTCAGGTCTCAGCGCAGCTGACCTACGAAACCTCGAAAAGCGCTCCGTCTCCAGCGCTGGCCACGTTGCCATCTCGGAATAAATCAGCTGCCTCACCGCCAGCCCCACTCCTAGATCAGAACAGGGATGGTCCAAGAATGCGTCAATTAAGGCCCAGTGGCCTACAAGCAAATACGAAGAGGGCCCCAACTGGCCCCGCGAGGCGTCCAAGTGGCCACCGAGAGACCGGACACATAGAGACGCTAGAAGGTTTTCAATTGCGCTGGGCCTGTCACCAGGTTTCCCTCGACGAGGCCGCAAGAAACTCCTGCATGCCCCCAATGCTCACCACAGGCGGCCCCCAATAGGTCCCGAACGGCCTCAACATGGCTCCCAAGACGGTGCAAAGGCTATCATGACGGCCCCAACAAAGCCCAAGACAGCCCAATACGGCTTTGAGACCGCTCAGGAACAGCCGATGGAGGCTCCAAGATGCCCGCGAAACACTCACCCGACACCCCTAAGAACCCCCAGACGGCTGGAAGTCTCTCCTGGATCGTCCGACGACTTCTGGCAGGCTCCCAAACTTCTGGGAGGAAGCAAACACCGACGTCACAACATACTGCTCTTTGGACCCCGAGGAAGACACTTTGCATTTTGCCATGTTACGGCCTGCGTCGAACTGGAGAACCGGGTTTACACTTGACGGCCATGTAGCCCCTCAGGGAGACAACTATCGCATATCACTACACTGTCGGGTCAAGCGAAGCGACGCAGCTTATGAAAGAGAGCTGCCGTATTTCATGGCCGTCTGGACAGCTTTGGTGTGGTCGCCACAATAAGGGCTGGTCTGGTATGATGGCGGAGCTTGCCGCAGCCACATGGACATAGACACAATTGAAACAGCAACGTAGAGCACACAACAAAACATACATACAAGGATGTATTCGCAAAGTAATGCATCCGCCACCGTGCAGTGGGCACTGTGGTATTGAATATTGTGAAAGCTCTAGATGCCCAGACCTTGTGTTCCAGGCGCTCTCGCGCGCTTCTTTTCCCGCGTGAGTCTCACAAACGTCTTGGGAGCGCCGGTGGGGTCCAAACCTCGAACTCGGTCTAAGATAATCCACAGGGCTCGTCCTGGAGCACTCTTGGAAGCCTCGTCGGCCGTCTTGGAGCCCTTTGGGACGGCCCCAAAATCCAAATTCATTGACGCACATCTTCTTCCATGCGTTTCGCATAATCGGCTTTTCGGTCTGAAGAGCGTCCTTTCCTCCAGGATGGCCTCCCAAGACCGTCATCAGGCCGCCAATTTTTGCCTCTTGTCCACAGACAGTGGCGCGATGGGCCGAAGGATGCCGAAGGCCACTAGATGCAGAAATACAATAGCACGATAACGCAGCGATGCAGCACTATACAGGACGAAGGGTCATGACGAAGGAGAACGAGGATGGAGTAGGGATCACGTTGACTGTTACATGAGGGCAGTTTGAGACAAGGGGCCGACGAGCACCACACAGTGCTCGTGATCAGCACCCCTGCTTGGAACAACACATTGCGTGTGAGAACCACCGCGAGTGAGAGCACAGGGGGGCCCACCATCACAGCAACTCTGGGTAACCATGGTGGCTGCGAACATCGCAGTGCCTGCGAGCACCTCGCGGCCTGCGAGCACCGCAGGACCTATGAGCAACAGATGGCCAAGGACTGTAAGATTTCCGATGCGGTGAGGGCATTGGATAAAAAAAACCCTTGGATAAGGAACCAAGGGTCTGCTGGAAGCCCGTGGAACATAAATCGTGGACTGTCCCTGCGTAGCGCCGCCGCCCTCAGCAGGCAAGGAACCCTCCAGGGTCTGAAGCCTCTGGGGGACATCCTTTCATCAACGCCCCCACCATGGTGCCTGCGAGCATCACGCGGCCTGCGAGCACCACATGATCTGTGAGCGACAGGTGCCCCAGGACTGCACGATTTACAATTTAAGCCCTGCATCCACGGCGCCAGTGCGAGGGGGCTTGCCGCGGGACGCCGCACAGTACTTGCGCCAGGAGGTGGCAGAGCTCCAGACACGAAGACCGAACGCCATCGAGTTTAAGAGTGTGGGAGAGAAAGAGAGCGAGAGAGAGAGAGAAAGAGAGAAAGAGAGAGAGAGAGAAACAAACAAAAGAGGGAGAGAGGAACAGGCAGGGGCAGATAGATAGAGAGAGAGAGAAGGAGAGCTAGAGAGAGAGAGAGATAAAACATAGAGCGAGAAAGATAGAAAGAGAGAGCTGGAGAGAACAGCAGAAGATCAAGCAAAAACCTTGTCGCAGCTGGCCCGCAGCCTGCCGTGGTACAAGATCGAATACAGGGCCTCCAGTTTGCAGCCGTGCCAGGCGCGCACCCACCTGTCAGGAGGGGAAAAAACAGCACACAGACACAAGCAAGCGTCGATTCCCAAGAGAATATGAGAAAATATCGGAAGTGGGGAGGGGGGGGGGGGGAAGACACACAAAATCCAGAAAACACGGGAAAATAGGGGGAATCTGGTTGTTTGCGTCCATGTATTTCTGTGTGTCCCAAATGCCCCTTCCGCCTGGCGCGCCCGTCCTCCCTCTGACGCGCCCGGTCGAACTGCCTCCACTGCAGGCTGTACCAGCCGTCCTCCTGCCGCAGCGGCGGCCCCAGCAGCGAGAGCACGGACTCCCCGCCCGGACCTGGGAGGCGACGTCCGGACCCTGCCCGTGCACCAAGCATCGGTCTGCGTGAGCGGAGGGGGGGCGGCGGGGGCGGGGCTCGGACCTCGCCACTCGGGTCGGGCAAAAGGGGGGGATAGCAAAGGGGGGGGGTGAGAATCAGCTCACGTGGCTGATTTTCCCGGCGCCTCCCGGCGCCGGAGGCGGCGATGTATCGAGGAATGGGCCCCTTGGTGGGGCCGAAACCAGCTGCATGCAGCAAATTTCGTAACCCCCCCTTTCCCAATCCCCCCCTTTCGCCCGGCCCGAGCCACGGCCCGACGGACTGCGAACACCACCCCCCGCCGCCCACTGGGTTGCCCGCATCGTGGATCGGCGAGGGCAGGGTTCGGGCTTCGCCGCCGAGGGCCCTCCCGCGCGCGCAGGAACTCCAGCATCGCGTTGATGTCGGCCTGCGCCCTCGTGGCCCCGCCCGCCTCCGAGCCCCACAGCTGCTTCCGGGCCCTCCGGCCCCAGAAGAGGCCCGCCTCGGGCGAGCCCCTCGGCGCGGCGTCGGCCACGTTCCAGTCGGCGGGCACGCCGTGGCAGTCCGGCTGGAAGGGCGGCGGCCTCGGGGCGGTCCACCTGGCAAGACGGGCGAGGCTGTGTCGAGAGTCTTCGAGGTCTGGCGGCTCTGGAGGATGCCTCGGGCGCCTCGGCCCTCTCAGAGCGTGCCGGAACGCTCTGAGAGCGTTCTGGAGCGCTGTGGAACGGATTTGCCCTCGTCCTAGCCCCGCCCGACCTGGTCCACTCGCTCGTGCTCCCCGAGGCGGACGCGTCGAGCACGTGCACGTACCGGAGCAGTGGAGCACAGCGGCCCTCGACCCTGAAGCGTTGCGAGGAGGGAGAGAGCGTCACCACCTCAGAGGAATCCCCCTTTATGCAGGTTGATGCAGGGCGTGACCCTGATCCTGATCCAGGCAGACCGATCTCCCCTTAGGCGCACAGCGCTCTGCTGGTGGATGGCTCGATCGATCGACCGCCACGACCCTGATCGATCGACAGAGCCGTCCAGCCCTGGCCGACGGAGCAAGGTCTACTATAATAGAGGCTTCCTAGATGGAGTCGGAGTAGATGGGGTCGGAGGATCTCGCCGCATCGCCGATACATCGGCGATGCATCGCGAATGCATCAGCGATGCATCGGCCATGCACTGGCCACGTCGGCGATGCATCGGCGACGTCGGCGTGGAGAAAATTAGGCCCCACTCCGAGCCGCATCGCCGATGCATCGCCGATGCGGCGCGATCCTCCGACCCCATCTACTCCGACCCCATCTAGGAGCCCTAGATTTAAGGTCACCGCCAGCTCGACCTCCCGGTGAAGAAAGACGCCTTTCCATGCTTCAAACTCGATCCCGTTGACTGTGCCTGCGATCTTCTCCTGCTTGCGGCCCCCCTCCATACGATCCACGAAGCCGAGGACCAGCAGCCAGGTGCCGGTCTTCCACTCCAGCGACCAGGTGTTGCGAACCTTGCGGTCCCAGCCGAACTTGTGGCGGCTACTCTGGTCCGCCCAGGGCCTGCAAGGATCCAAGAGGCTGTGGGCGCCCCAGTACTGCCAGCCGCCGAAGACGTTGTAGCCTGTGGGGGCCGCGACATCAGCTGATTCGACGAGCGCGGCTTTGAGGAGGACCTCCGACTCCCTGGACGCTTCCGGTTTCTCTGCTGGCGTGCTCTTGGCCTCTGTTGCTGCGTCGGCCACGCGCCCAAACTGCCCGCTGTCATCCCAGGAGACCTCGCCCGTGAGGTGATTGAGCAGGAAGTGACCGCCACCGCGCCTGCAGCTGTAGGCGTGAGCCGAGGGCGGCGTAATGGGGGTCAGTATAGGGCATTGCGGACACTGCAACACAGCTGCAGACCGTAGTTTGTAGCGGATGCATATGCATACTTTACCAGTCGTCAATGTCGCCGCTCTTGCGATCCTACGCCCGCGCGCACACACATGGCTATGACACAATTTGAGTTCACCATTTCGGAAGAGCACTCGGCGTAATCCCACCAGCCCTTTGGGCGTAGACGGTCTAACACATGTATTGTTCCATCCCATTTCTCTCCCTTCATGGAGGGGCTTATCACTGCTCCGCCTTGGAAGACACCCCCTCCCCACTTGACCGGCCGCCACCCAGCGTCAATGCTCACACCCTCCACTACCCCTCTAAAAAGGCATACAATCCACTTTGCGTCCAATTCTAGATTCCTGGATCGGCCCGAATCTGGTATCTCATCAAACAGAAGGACTAGAACATGTCGCTACTGTTTCGAGACGGCGATGTATTGCTCTGAATATACCACACAGCCCCGCTCAAGAGACCCCACGACACCATAAAAGTCTCCCTGCAGCCCCCCACACCGATGCGCCTCTACACCACGTATAGACGACCCGTTTGGGCTGCCCCTGGAGAGCCCCCAGGCGTCTCCTCGAAGGAAGAGCCCATACGGACTCACTGGCATTCGCTGTCTTGGCGGGCCCCCGTCTTGGCGCAAGACAACTTCCGAAAGGCCCCACTTCCAGGACGGCCGCTTCGTGGCCCTCAGACATTCAAGGCGGTCCTCAGACATCCAAGGAGGTCCTGATTGGGCCCCGGCAGGGTCCGGGCAGTCCTCACTGGGTCCCTATGAGCCTCTGGTTGGACCCTGGAGGGAGCCTGGCGGAACTCTGGCGTCTTAGCGAGGGCCAAGTGAGGTCCTGGCACGGTCCTGGTAAGGTTCTGCTGGGTCCTGGACAAGGGTCCTGGTCGGGCCCCGTGGTCCTGGACGGGTCATGACTGTGTCCCGGCAGGGTCCTGGTGGCCCCCAGCATGGTCCCGATAGGCTCCTGGCAGCGGACCGGAGCGTCCTGGCGGGGTTCTTTTGTGACCCTGGCAGGGTCCTGATATGCTCATGGCAAGAACATAATAGGATCCTGGCAGGGCCCCGATCAGCTTAGAAGCAGCGCCAAAGTCCTAGTTGTGTGAAGACCCTCAGGGTGTCCCGAACGGCCCTGGCACTGCCCACTGAGATCCTGGTAGGGTCTGGGAAGGACTCTGGTAGGGCCTCATGGTGATCCTGGCACGGCCCTGAAAAAGGTCCCAGCCAGGTATTTGCAAGGAGCCTGGTAGGGCAAGGTTCCTTAAGGTCCTGGCCCAGTGGCAGTAAAGTTCTTGGTGCGGCCTTGGAACGGGCCTGGCGGGAGTCCATACAAAGTTGCAATACGGGGAACGGTGCGAGCGTTAGAATGCAAGTTCGCCGTCTGGCAAGCCTTCTGAAGTTGTTCGAGGACGACCTGCGCACTCGTTGCGCGCTTCGCCAGAGGTCGCAACCCTTAAGACGAGCCAAGATCGCCCACGCCCCAAGAGAGCCCTCGCACGGCCTTCGGGGCCGACCAGACGGCACCCACACCAGCCTTCTAATTGCAGGGGGACCCTGAAGGCTCCAAGATGTCGCCGAGAACTCGTCCGTGGCCCCAAACAGCCGAAGAAGCTCCAGAAAGGCGCCCAGAGAGAGCCCCAGCCAGACCCCACGAAACCCCAAACAAGGAAGCACGTGCGACGTGTGTTTTGTCTTCCTTACGAGGTGTTCTGCATATGATGGATGGCCGCGGGAAGGCTTCAGAGAGTCCAAAAAAACTCCGAGCACTGCTGGATGCGTCCCAGAACGGTCCAACAACTTCCCAAACAGTATGGCCCAGTACCGCCTCAAAATGACTCGAAGATGACACACATATTCTCTCAAACGGCCAAATGATGATTCATTGAGCCTCTTCGGAAGAACGCTAAAGGTCCTCACGGCTCCAAGGTACAGAGCATACCCCCAAGTGAATTCCGAGGAGCCCCCGAGGGGGCCCTGACGAGGCCCCCCCCCCAGCGTCACCAAAGAAGCCCCCACGAAGTCTCACATAACCTTCCCAGAAACTCACAGAAACAACTCAGCGACCATGCAAGGTCAGGGCTGCGCAAAGCTACAGCACAGTGTAGCGGCTGTTTCGAAGACCTCGGCAGAACCATCTGCTTGCATTCCGATGCTGCGCTGGCGCAATGGCTGGATTTGCCGCAAGCAACTGGATATTGTGACATGCCGTTTGTGTCGGAGATGCAGGACCCTCGAGGAATTCTAGAACATCGGGGTCGGAGAGGAGACCGCCGATCTTCGATTACCGGGAGTGAGAAGGCGCGTGAGATAACTGGCTGTCCCCAACCCCGCTTCTCCCGCCCCAGGTGTCATCTGGTCATCGGAGCCTCCAAATCCTCAGCACGTGGCCTCCAAGATGCCCAAGATGCCTTCTAAGATGGCTCAAGGAGGGCTCCAACGAATTGGAGAGGCCTCCAGAACGCCCAAGAGAGCGTCAAGATGGTGTAACAGACCCCTAGGATGCTCCAAGAGGGGACCCAAGACGATCCAAGATGGCCCCGAAAGAACCCCAATAATGAAGGCCTCCTAGATGGGGTCCGAGTAGATTGGGTCGAAGGATCGCGCCGCATCGCCGATACATTGGCGATGCATCGGGGATGCATCTGCGATGCATCGGCGATGCACCGGCGATGCATCGTCGACGTGGGCGATAATCGGCAACGTCGACGTGAAGCAACTCGGGCTCCACATCGAGCCGCATCGGTGATGCTTCGGCGATGCAGCGCGATCCTCCCCATCTGCTCCGACCCCATCTGGGAGGCCTAGAAAGAAGGGATTAGGGGAACGAAAATTGTAGAAAACAAAAACTCTGGGGTCCGCGCGGATTTCTTGGATCCGCGCTGGACTCCTCTCCCTGGCGCGCTCCGTGGAGGCGCCGCAGGGGGCCCCAGCGCGGATCCGAAAAATCCGCGCGGACCTCCGAGTTTTTACGTTTATGCCATTCTTCGTTCCCCTGTAGAAAGAAGGCGCCAAGAAATGACAATCAATGCTGTCCCTACGGTTTTCAATATCTCCTAACGCTCGCCTTTCCCGGCTTCTGCAATCTCGAGGCGGCCCGTGAGGCCCCCCGGACCAGCCCCCCATGACGGCCCCAGAAGCCTCTTAAGAGGACCATACGCCTACAACAAAAGGCCGTCACGAGGGCCCCAGGAGGGGCCCAGGAGGGGGAACTCGGAGGGGCCCCAGGACCTGAGTCCTCTCCCACAAGATGGCCCCAACGACACCCAGCATGCCCCCATGAGGCCCTGAAGAAGCCCGCAGAGGGCCCCCCGAAGCCCCCAGGAGCAGTGACAAATGCTTCCGCGAGACCGCCCTCGAGGCCACCACGAGGCCCCTAAGAGGCCCCCAAGAAACCACGCAACAGACGCGGAGGACGAGGACAAAGCAGAAACAGCTGCACGCAGGCAACACGACGGAGACTGGTAGATAACACGTGTGGCCGCGCCGTTTGTGCTCGACGCGCCCGAGCAGTGAGACGACGCCGACACCACGTCAAGTCCACAGCAGACCCCACGCCCCGCGCCTGGGCAGACGAAGCCGGCACCCGGGCAAACCTCGCGGCAAGAGCCAGGCATCCGGCCGGGGCGGCGCGTGCCCGGGTGCCCGCCCCAAGAAGAAGACGAACAGGCCGCGCGTCGGAACCAACGGGCACGCCGACACACACGGAATCGGAAGCCGCACAGCTCCTCATCTGGGCGATTCCGGAAACCCTGAACCCAGAAAAGTTTTCGTCTCTCGGGGGCGTTTCTTTTTACCTCCGCCGCCTTCCGCCGAGCTTCCGCTGGCTTCCGCCGGCGGAGGCGGCCTCGTTTTACTTCCGCCGCCCTTCCGCCGCCTTCCGCGGGGAAAGAGACGGCAACTCCCTCGATCCTCGCAGGCAAAGCCTTTTTGAAACGCCTTGTATGGGGTGGGTGGCAGCGAAATGGGGTGCGCCTCGTGAGTAGCACTGTAGGACCGCTCGGTAACGTGGGAGCGCGAGGTCCAGATCGGATCGAACATAAAAAAGCCGTCGTGCCACAGCGAGATCGTAGGGCTAGAATTATGACATCTCTTCCGCGTGAAACGTGTGGACAGCAGCCAGACAGTAGGCGAAAGCAGTACCAAAAAGGAAGAGCGTGTCTCCCCCTTCACCCAAGCAGCGAGATTCGGCGTTGGGGTGATATCCGGCCACCACAGGAATCCCGTAGCGAGGCAATCTTAGGGAGTGCAAGAACATGCTGCAGGATATGGCGATGTCTGCACTCGGCGCTGCGCCCAGGGGGGAAGTGAGCAGGGGCGGGCCTTCGCAGAAGGCTCGGAAGTCCCCCGGCCTTCTGAGAAGTTTTGTGGGCCTTCCCCGAAGACAGAACAAACTTCTCAGAAGGCGCGAGGGGTTCTGAGAAGTCCCGCCGCCTTCTGAGAAGGCCTTCTTCTTCTCATTTCCCCCCCTCGCTCGCCGCCGATGCACATGAATTCCCACATGGCTGTGGCGGGTAAGCGCGGCGGCGCATCTGGATCTGCCGTCGCTGACCTTGAACGCCTGTACCCACTGCGTCTCCAGCCCACAAACGCTCCAGGGCTCCGCGTGGCTGGCCTGCTTCGCGAGCTCCTTCCAGTGCTTCTGACCGCACAGGTGACTCTTCGCGCCGCTGGTCATCACGACCCGACAGACGATGCACTGGAAGTCCCAGGCCTTCGTGATCTTGTACTCCGCGTTCTGGAGCTGCTCGAGGACCCTGGCGGGCTCGTCCATCCAATCCCTCCAGGCTTCCTTAGGGGAACAAAAAGTGATATAAGCATTAAAAACTCAGAGGTCTGCGCGGATTTCTCGGATCGGCGCTGGACCCCCCTCCCTGGCGCGCGGAGCGCGCCAGGGGCGGCGCTGGAGGCGCCGCCGGGGGGCCCCAGCGCCGATCCGAGAAATCCGCGCGGACCTCTGAGTTTTTGTTTCTGTCATTGTTCGTTCCCCTGTTCCTTGGTCTTGATCGCCTCCACGTGACCGAACGGGTCGCGGGCCTCCTGCAGCCGCACTGCCTCCGCCCAGGCGGCCTCGCAGGCGAGCCACGCGGCCCTCCTGCCGGGCGGCCCTCCTGCCCCGTGCCACGGCACGGACTGCAGCGCCGCCGCAGCTTCCCGGGCCCTCTGGTACCCGGCCGCCCTTTTCGGGGACGACGCCCTGGATTTGGACGCCCGAAATGGGTACGGAAAAAATGCGTACAATGCCCAACAACAAATGTTGCCCCAAACCAACAGCGGCCGTTGTTGGGCAGGCGGCCTTCTGTCTCAAATGGACACAGGCCGCGGCGGCGCGGACAGCGAGCCCTGTTCAACATGAACAGGATCCGCTGTTGGGCATTGTACCCATTCTTTCCGTGCCAATTTCGTTCGTGCAGACTGGAGAAACAACGGGGGCCATGGCAAGAGACTTGCCATACGCACACACACACACGATGCAATCCTCTAGACCTCCCAGATGGGGTCGGAGCAGATGGGTTCGGAGGATTGCGTCGCATCGCCGATGCATCGTCGATGCGGCTCGATGTGCCTAATGTCGACGTCACCGGTGCATCGCCGACGTCGACGATGCATCGCCGGTGCATCGCCGATGCATCGCCGATGCATCGCCGATGCATCGCCGATGCATCGCCGATGCATCGCCGATGCATCGCCGATGTATCGACGATGCGGCTTGGTCCTCCGACGCCATCTACTCGGACCCCATCTAGGAGGCCTCTAAATCCATAGTAGGCCTCCCAGCAAACTAATAACAACAATGGCGGGCGATCCATGGAGTAGAGCCCCTTGCTCAGAGCCTTTGTCAAGCCCCACCCCCGTGCACTTGTTCAGTGCTCCCTCGCTTGCACCAAGCCGGTGAGGCCGCCTGGGACAGGCACGTGTCCCACGCCAGGGAAGGCTTGTCGAGTTTTTTATTCTTGGAGGCCAGGATATCACTCACTGAGTAGCTTCCCCGAGAGTCGCCGCTCCTTGATGATGGGGCGATGTTTAGTTCCCCGTCGTATTGCCCCAATCCTTGGCTACATCCGCGGCCGTGCCGCAGGCACCGTGTGAAGGGTCCCCGGCCCTCATCAGATATAGGGGGCCACATGCGAACCCTACCCCTACCCCCCACGATTTCTGAGGGGGAGGGCGGGGTTCACTTCGTTCGGGAGCTACCGAGCGAAGTGAACCCCGCCCTCCCCCTCAGAAATCGTGGGAGGAGGAGGAGGAGCAGCAGGAGGAGGAGGAGGAGGAGGAGGAGGAGGAGGAGGAGCAGGAGGAGCAGGAGGAGGAGGAGGAGGAGGAGGAGGAGGAGGAGGAGGAGGATGTGGCCCTCATCAGATAGGGAACCCTCCCGGGCCTGCAGCCTCCCGGGCACCTCCCGGAACGGCCGCCCCCACCGCAGGTGGTCAGCGTCTCTGGAGGCTACTAATTATCCGCTCTGGCGTGCGGAGGCCCGCAGGCCGAGCCAGCGGCACCAAGCGGGTGCATACCAGAGTGCTCGTACACGCCGGTCGGAAGAAGTAGGTAAAAACATGAAGTAGGAGTGCGGATTAAGTTGATTGGGTCCAGGCCCCCCCAGGGAATAACGAAACACAGCAAAAGCGTGCCGATTCTTGAAGTAGGAAGGCGCTTGAAGTAGATTGGGATCTGGGAGTCCAGAAATACCTACTTTCAACGACCGGCGTGTACAGCCGGCCCGCATCCTGAAGATGCGCGACACGGATGCAGGGGCCTTGGGCGCCCACGTCGAAGCGTTTCGAGGGTGGCGCGGCCAACGAGAGTGGCTCGGGGTGGGCCGAGGAGGCAAGGATGCCAGGGTATCCTCGGGAAGGTGTCCCCATCCTTACTAGGCGGGTGGACTGCACGTTGTCTGGTGTGGGCCTCTGTGCTTTTTTTAGGGTCCGGCAGAAACATGGCAACAAAACGGCCCACGTCCGTCCAAGGACGGCCCACAGAGCCCAGAAGGGCCCCGATAGCGCCTCCAGACAACCCAAAAAAGACCGAAGAGGGCCCCGAGACGGCCCTCTTTAGCCTCAAGACGGTCGAAGAGGACTCGAAGAATGCCCAAAGAGGGCCCGAAGGGAGGAAACTCGAAGGCGGGCCCCAAAACGGCCACAAGACGGGACGAAGAGCTCCCACGACGGGCTTGAGGACCGGCAGCGAACCGACCCCTAGAAGATGGCCCCCAAGACGTTCCCAAGAGGCCCCGAAACGCCTCCAAAAAGCCTCCCAAAAGCTCGCTCCTAACCGACCCCAGGAGTCCCACTACAGGGCCCCAAGAGGAGAACGATGCTGTGGTCAAAGAGAGGGTGCCCAAGACCCGCGCCAGTTCAGCGCCTTGTCAGAACTGGAGTAGGTCTCGACCTAACCCTCAATCCTGCCGCGCTGCTGCGCTGGCACGGTGGCGAGGACTTGCTGGACCCAGCAGGACAGTTCAGAGACCCCCCATCGCTGCCAACACTATTCATGGAGCTCTCTCCTCCTGCTTCTGCCCTCCTCCTCCTCCTCCTCCTCCTCCTCCTCCTCCTCCTCCTCCTCCTCCTCCTCCTCCTCCTCTTCCTCCTCCTATTCCAGGGGTGCCCATCAGATGCCACCACCTCCTCATCCTTGCTTAGCAATAAAGGGACCCCAATCACTTTGAGAGGCGGCCTAAGTTCGGAGGCCAGAAACATCAGGGATGGTGGGTCTGTCCTGCAGATGCATCGAACCAGATCGCCCAGATGTACTATCCCTGAGCAACGAGGAGGACCTCAATGAGGCCTATGCTAATAGGTTTAGAGGCCCTTTTACAGTGGAGATCCATGCCAAACAAAACACACTGCTTGCATCCGGGGTGCCCTGGGTTTCTTGGGTGACCATGGTTTTGATATTGAACGCGTGACGTTCCGACACCAAACATCGATGGACGTCCTGGGATCTCAGGGTCGGGATTATTGTCGAAGGTGTCTTGTGGACTGCCCGCCGCTGCATCCGCGATGGATCCTCCTGCTCGGAGCGCCCGGGGGTCTGTCCCCGTCGCCCCCCAGAGACATCATCCACGCACTGCAGCGCCAGCGCGCGCCCGGCGCCCCCTGCCCCCCCCCCCCCCGAGGCCCCGCGGGGGACAAGGGGAAGGGGGGGGATGGAAAGGGCCCATGACTACCTCGAGAGCGTCGCCGCTCGTGCATTTGATCAGCGGCCTCTTCAAAAGCGGGCGCCCACGCCGAACAAAGCGCAATCACCATTTAGCGCGCGCCCCGGGCGGGGTAGAGCCCAGGCAATCTGCCGCAATCTCTTTCTGGTTAGTCGATAGATACGAAGCTGTTCCGACCTGAGCGCGTCCGCCCGCGCAGCGATTCGCAAACGCCTGACGAACGCGTCTCTGGGCTCAAGCTCCACCGGGCGGGCTTCGTCCAATCGCTCGCGCAAGATCTTCCACGCATGTTCGATGGCGTTGAAGTATTGGGCCACTTTCGGGCACGCATCGACCGACATCAGACCGCAGCGGTTCAAGGCGCGCAGAGCCTCTGGCGTCTGCCAGCGCCCCTCGTAATCGCATGCAAGAAAACCGGTGTTCAATCTTCGCCCGTCAGGCTTGTCCTCTATCAGATCCACATGTATAGCTCGATCCATGACGCCGCACTCGTCCAAGACATGCACGTGCAGCGCGCCAGCCGCCAGCGCCCCCCAGGCCCTCGCTGGCCGGCTCTGAGCTTTGTTGTAGCTAGAAGGCCCCGCGCAGTCTTTGCGCAGAGCGTCGCTGTTGTCAGACCCCCTCCAGGCGCGGGGCCCCGAAGACCTGCGAACCGCGTGCTCGCGTTCAGCTCCAGTCTTCTCCAGGTAGTACGTTGCGCCGTCCACGTGCGCCCATCTCTCCGAAATTTTGGCGGCGCCGCGGTTGTCCAGAACCCACGTCGCGATGTCCCGGTCCTGCTTCTCCGGGGTCTTCCGCGGGCCCCGACCCCGAGCCCCCCCCCCGCCCCGCCCGAGGTTCTCTCTCAATTTCCGCATGCAGTTGCTGATGGCCGACTCTTCAAAGCACGCCCTGCCATCGGCATTCCCAACAAGTTTCGCGCTGCTGGCGCGCCCCATGCCCCGCTCCAGGCGGGCCCTCGCCTGGCCCGCGCCGAACGGTGGCAACTGGTAGCCGGCCATCAGGATTGAAGGCGGTCCGCGGAAGCGAAAAGTAGCGAGAAATGGATGCCTGCGCCAGAACGGCCACGGACCCCGAGGACGCGCGGTCGGTGAGTTCGACCACCGCTATCGAGGGCGTACTTCAATGCCCGTGCAGTTCCCACTTGCCAACGCAATACCAACGCATGTCATTGCAATGCCAACGCAATCCCAATGCAAAACCAGCGCGATACCAGCGCAATGCCAAGGAATGCCGATGCAATGCCAACGCAATGCCAACGTAGTGCCGCTGCAATACCAACGCAAAGCGGATACAATGCCAACCACGTACCAACGCGATGCCAACGCAGTGACAGCGCAATGCAAATGCTACGCGCATGCGCTACCAATGCAATGCCAGTCCGATCAAACAACACGCACCTCTAAGATGCCAAATGCCACAATACCGATCCAGAGAAGGCCCGCGCGGCCGCGGGACTTCCCTGAGCGATGACTGATCCCCGAGGGCCTCAAAACCGCGAACCACCAATGCGTTGTCCTTGTTTTCCGCTGCGGGCCATGTCGCTGCGGACGGGCGCCAAGGGCTTGCGCGCGCGTGCCAGATCGTGCGCGGACAGGGGTGCTCCGAAGCACGGTTCTCGCGTTTTTGTTCGCCTGCGTTCTGTCTCGCTCAGCGAGGGCGGTCAAGGAAGCAGCGCCGCTTTGGCAGCCTGCGCTGTACGCCAGCGTTTGATCGTTTCAGCGTAGAGAGAGAACCGGTCCCTAACTCGCTTCCAAGGGGAGCTTCAGACTGTCGTGGAACGCGCCGCCCGCGGCCAGGCGCGCGAAGACGCAGTTCTTCTGCAGCCACTTCGACCGACTCTCGCGGGCAGGGTCTGCTAGTTCAGCGTCGGGAGCGCCCAAGTCAACAGTCAGTGCCACGGGAGCTCCGAAATGGCATTGGGCGTAGGAGTAGACATTGGTAGCGCTCTGCCAACCCTTGCCTGTGGCATTCCGTGCCTGCAAGACTGCCCGCCAACTCTGTAGCTGCTTCCATGAGTTCAC